GGGGCGATGTGAAAATTTTTATCCTCGAGCGAACACCAAGCGAGGTCATACATACATACATACTCAACTATGCATACATGAGCATTTTATAAATCATGCACAGTCATACACACATACAGAGACACTCAGATAATGAAAATAAAGACAAAAAGACATAAACAAATAGTCATTTTTATGCTTACTTTATTAGTCACGGAGGACTTAGAGTATATTTTTATAATCATATTTGTGAGTGTATGCCAGTGTTGTGAGTGTATGCCAGTGTTGTGAGTGTATGCCAGTGTTGTGAGTGTATGTCAGTGTTGTGAGTGTATGTCAGTGTTGTGAGTGTATGTCAGTGTTGTGAGTGTATGTCAGTGTTGTGAATGTATGCCAGTGTTGTGAGTGTATGTCGGTGTTGTGAGTGTATGCCAGTGTTGTGAGTGTATGTCGTGTTGTGAGTGTATGCCAGTGTTGTGAGTGTATGTCAGTGTTGTGAGTGTATGTCATGTTGTGTGTATGTCCAGTGTATGTGTGTTGTGATGTGCCAGTATGTCGGTGTGTGTATGTGAGTGTATGTCGGTGTTGTGAGTGTATGCCAGTGTTGTGAGTATGTGTTGTGATGTATGCCAGTGTTGTGTGTATGCCAGTGTTGTGAGTGTATGTCGGTGTTGTGAGTGTACCAGTGTTGTGAGTGTGTATGCCAGTGTTGTGGAGTGTATGTCGGTGTTGTGAGTGTATGCCAGTGTTGTGAGTGTATGCCAGTGTTGTGAGGTATGCCAGTGTTGTGAGTGTATGTCAGTGTTGAATGTATGCCAGTGTTGTGAGTGTATGTCGGTGTTGTGAGTGTATGCCAGTGTTGTGAGTGTATGTTGTGAGTGTATGCCAGTGTTGTGAATGTATGCCGGTGTTGTGAGTGTATGCCAGTGTTGTGAGTGTATGCCACAGTGTTGTGAGTGTATGCCAGTGTTGTGAGTGCCAGTGTTGTGAGTGTATGCCAGTGTTGTGAATGTATGCCGGTGTTGTGAGTGTATGCCAGTGTTGTGAGTGTATGCCAGTGTTGTGAGTGTATGCCAGTGTTGTGAGTGTATGCCAGTGTTGTGAATGTATGCCGGTGTTGTGAGTGTATGCCAGTGTTGAGTGTATGCCAGTGTTGTGAATGTATGTCGGTGTTGTGAGTGTATGCCAGTGTTGTGAGTGTATGCCAGTGTTGTGAGTGTATGCCAGTGTTGTGAGTGTTTTTTGTTTTTTTCGTCAATTAAAATAATACAAGATTTTTTTTTTTTACCTTGAATTTGTCCTTGAGTTGGTAATTCGTATTGAATAAGCCTGTCACCTTACTTGTTTATCACTAATTGTGGCAAAAGGAAACATTTTGTCAAACCAATTGGCTCAGAATATTTGTTTTTAATTAAAATTGAAAATTATATTTTTTTTACACAATTTGACCTCGAAAATGACCTTCAAAGCCAAAAGTGAGAGTGGCCTTTACCTGCATTTTGTTCCTCACCCACAGGTGGATGTCGGGCACACGAGAATAACCCGATATAGTACCTCCTCCTTTCCTCACACAGCCAAACTGTGGAATGCTATGCCTTCTTCTGTTTCCATACTTATACAATCTGTCTCACTTTAAAAAGATGGTTTTCCGGCATCTTCATGGTGTAGATTAACACAGTATAACCTTTTCCTTCTCTATTTTCAATTTATTTATGTTCTTATTTTTTCGCCTCCCAGGCCCCGTTGTGGGTCCTTTGACCTGTGCCCGGGTAAGCTAATTCCCGTAAAAAAAAAAAAAATAATAGTACAGTCGCTTAAAAAAGTATCTGAAAAGTGGGGTCCGATGTTTTTAGTTTAACAAATTTATTGGCAAAGCTTGTAGTACAGTTTGCCTATTCTGAGTAATTCAGTCAGGTCTTGACACTGAGGGTGGTATCACTTCTCGCTGCCACGCTGGACAGAGGTTCATACACAAAGAAATACATCATATTCATTAACAGCTATAAATGTATAGAGGTCACATTCATATGGGTAATGTCACTGTTCACTGCCACGCAGGACAGAGGTTCGTACACAAAGGAGGAAATACATCATACTCATTTGCAGTATATATAGGCCAGTGGATCACATACATTGGAGTCATATTCTAATTGAAGACTTATCAGTGTGGGCTAGCAAATTTGGGATAAACAGCAAGAATGTCCTCAAGCACACCTGATTCAATGAAGTAATTACATAGTTCAAGATACAATAAGTCAGGTGGCCTGAAGTCTTTGCCAGTGTCACATTCAATAATATAGTGTTCAAGTGTATGCTTTATAGGTTTATCACAAAGTTTACATGCTGAGTGTTCCGGTATGGGTACAGCGTTACTAACTTGCCAGATGTGTCTGTATCCTAGTCTAATTCTGGCCACGACTACATCACATTGTCTGGTTCTGTCCTTATGCTGGCCATACCGGTACCTCTTGTCACAAAATTTGTCATATTTACTAATGCTACAACTGTCAGGTCTCTCTGCATTTCTCACTTCTTCTAGATCAGAGTTCATGATTCTGACTTGAATGTTTTTAATTACGGCATTGGATAGGCCAAGGTCACGGTCAACATTTTCTTACTTATATGCCTCATTGGCCAGTCTATCAGCACGGTCACGATACCTGATTCCAACATGGGACAGAATCCACACAAATTCGATACGAAAGTTGTTCTCATTGGCAGTTATCACATTCCTTTTAATATCACATACAACTTTAGATATAGGCTGTTCATTGATTTTAAAGCACTTTGAGAGTCACAGAATATCACCCCACCTCCATTTTCTTTGAGGTAGTCTGTGGCTAAGTAGATTCCAGTTAGTTCAGTTTGTGTTGTGCTGGCCCAGTTGTTCAGCCTTTGTTTGTTTGACACTATCATCTCTTTTTCTTTATATATTACAATTGCACAGCCTGTTCTACCTGTGTTTGTCTGCACAGAACCATCAGTAAAAGCATAACATTCACTTGATTTAATACTCTCTATGTATCTGTTAATAGTTTCTAGTGTGACACATCTCATCACATCGGTGTTTAACATTTGCTTACTACCAACAGGAGTGTAATTAATTGTTACTGATATACCCAGCCAAGGAGGAATGGCATTAATAGGTTTGTCTGGGGTGATTGGGACATTCAGTTTCAAGAGATCTGCAACACTTTTATGAAGCCACACCCCAAGAGTCTTTTGTGGAAGGTTGGCGAGATGGTCGGGATTACTTAGATAGAACATCAACTCAGTTTGAGTTGTAGTTTGAGAACCATTATTCTTCAAAACCTTGACAGGATGTCAAAACAAACAATACAACCCTTGTTGGCTGGGCACTGTTGCCTCGGTAGGGTTGGTAAACTTGAATAGGCGTAGATGCCGCAACTGGCTTATAACCAGGATAGTTTATCTTTATCGACATGTAAACTGTAAACATTGCATTATAGTCATAACTGTATGAAAACAGTATAATCACCATAAATAGCATGTTTGATGTCCTATGTGAAACACAGTATCGTCGACAGGGTAGAGTTGCCATGTTGCTATGAACCCAAACAATTCGTTCTGGACGCGGGAAGTGTTTACACCAAATATTAATTCAATAAACGTGAGATGCCATTAATGTTTACCTTACCTATTATTATAACATACCCTGATATCTAATACATGTATGCATACCAAATGCTGAGGAACATTTAAGCATTACCAAGCGCATATTGTTTACTGTATGTGTCTAACATGGATATTGTCTTTTTAGACTGTCATTCCCTGTTAACATAACCATATTAATTATATTCATATGAAACACGTTAATGACAAACGGCAGGAAACGTCTTATATATTACTTGGCAACAGTTGTGACATGCAGGTCTACCACCTTTACGCCTGGTCCTCTACCATTTCCCCAAAACATACTTCCGATGGGTCATATTGTCATGAACAATATTTTTCAGATACAAAAAACGTCGTTCAAAGTAAATTTTTGAGTTGTGGCCGATCCACTAGTAAAGTGAGGCTCCACAGTGTACAAGGGTGTTAGGGGAGTGTGTCGATGTATATTGGGTGTCCCAGAAAAATGTCCCCGCTTCCTTCCCTTCCTGCCTGCACCCTGCTTCCCTCCCTCCCTTCCTGCCTGCTCCCTGCTTCCCTCCCTCCCTTCCTGCCTGCTCCCTGCTTCCCTCCCTCCCTTCCTGCCTGCTCCCTGCTTCCCTCCCTTCCTGCCTGCTCCCTCCCTCAAACTTAGTGTCTCAGGGAGCAGGCAGGGAGGGAGGGAGGGAGGCAGGGACATTTTTCTGGTACATCCTATATACTCGCCGACCCTGGAGCAGTGGTGAGGCCTCTCACTTAAGAATTTCACAACTTCCGTGAATAATGACCATATTCTTCGTGTGATGTGAGGAATTTGAACACTGCAGATAAATTGTCGACATCAAAACAAATCACTCTATAAAAAAGGTTATGAACCTAATTTATTACTTTAATACAGGGATTTTATGATAGAATTTTTGTTTACCAGTGTTACGAACCACGCCACCAATTGTCCTGATCTACCTACCCAGCACCACGAGCAACGCCATCTAGGGACGAAACACGAGTATGACTACTCTTAGTTACTACTCCGGGGTTTCCCTTCTCCATATCCTGGTTGTTGCGTCACCTCCTACAAGTCTTCTTCATCAGCTACAGTTCGATGAGAGTTCAGTTCACTCTGGGAAGTGACCACAGGATCACCTATCCTGGAAACCTACGGCACAGTGACTACCTACCGTCTTCTACAATACTCAGCCTTACTCGTCAGCCATCTCAGCTCCGCACTTAAGTATTTGTAATCTTATATTGCCTCCCCCATCTCCACCTTGCTTCAAATTATTGTATGTTGTATAAATATGTATATACTGTTAATGTTTAGGTTAAGTATGGTTAAGGGTAAATTATAGATAGCGGAATATTTTGTTAAGGGATTTATGGTACTTTATTATACACAACAAAAACTCGCATCCTCTGTCTACCCTTTTATAGTCCGATTGTCTTTGTTTTTTTTATTGTTGTTGCCTGTTGGGATCTGGGTAGACTTTTAACTATATTCTAAATCCCCAACTCGTAACACCAGTCTACCAGGTATTAATTTCTATTAAGTCACATCTTGAGATACAGGTAACAGGGCCATGGTTAATATCTAAACGAGGGTCGACGACTTTTTATTTTTGTCGTCTCTCTCTAACTTTCTTCTTGTCTCATTCTTCTTTTTCGTTTTGACATTGTTTTCCGTCTCTTCTCTACGTCTTCAATGGTTTCAGGAAGAGGTGTGTTGTTAGTCTCGGGAAGTAACGGCACCAACAGCCCAGCCAAGATTCCCGCCCCTCCGAAGGCCGCACTCGTTACCCACCAACTTTGTCGCGCCTGTGTTGTGAAGTTTAGTTTAACATTTATTGGCAAAGCTTGTAGTACAGTTTGCCTATTCTGAGTAATTCAGTCAGGTCTTGACACTGAGGGTGGCATCACTTCTCGCTGCCACGCAGGACAGAGGTTCATACACAAAGAAATACATCATATTCATTAACAGCTATATATGTATAGAGGTCAGATTCATGTGGGTAATGTCACTGTTCACTGCTATGCAAGACAGAGGTTCGTACACAAAGAAAGAAATACATCATATTCATTATCAGTATATATGGGTCAGTAGTTCACATACATTGGAGTCATATTCTAATTGAAAACTTATCAGTGTGGGCTAGCAAATTTGGGATAAACAGCAAGAATTTCCTCAAGCACCCCCGATTCAATGTAGTAATTACAGTAATTACAAAGTTCAAGATACAATAAGTCAGGTGGCCTGAAGTCTTTGACAGTGTCACATTCAATAATATAGTGTTCAAGTGTATGCTTTAAAGGTTTATCACAAAGTTTACATGCTGAGTGTTCCGGTATGGGTACAGCGTTACTAACTTGCCAGATGAGTCTGTATCCTAGCCTATTTCTGGCCACGACTACATCACATTGTCTGGTTCTGTCCTTATGCTGGCCATACCGGTACTTCTTGTCACAAAATTTTGTCATATTTACTAATGCTACAACTGCCAGGAAGAAATTCTTGACCACCAAAATAATGTAAGTTCTTATTTTTGAGAATTTTTTTTATAAATCTTAGGTGAATCTTCAACAATTAAAAAAAAATATTTACTGAAGATGAGAAAAACTTGAGTAATCATCATTTTATATTAACATTAAAAGAATATAGTTGTACAGGCTAGTCTTTATATGTGTGTGTGTATATTATGAAGAAAAAATCATCCTTCATTGTTTTCCAGAGTGGTAATTTCCTGGTGAGAAAGACAAACATATTTCAGAGCAATTAATGCCTCTTAAACCCAACACACTTTAGGATTAGATTTTTTAACTTGGCCTGATAGACTTGCGTTAAATTTCTCTCAACTCCTTAGCAAAACGAAAGATTCTATACCAGTAAGTCGGTGATGATTGGCGACAACGTGAAGCCTATGTTAGCCGCAGAGCTCACCAACCCGCACCCTCGAGATCTTATCACTGTCGGGAACAACTCAGGAGCATACATGAAGTTCACCTGAGAGACAAGAAACAAATATTACCGTAAAAGACAAAAACAAAGTTACCCGCGAATTTCAACTGGAAAACTGGAGGTGATGATGAATGAGGTGTATGAAAGTGAGGTGAGTGAGAGAGAGGCAAGTGAGAGTGAGGTAAATGAAAGTAAAATATGTGAAAATAGAGAGAGTGAATGATATAAGGATGAGAGAACAGTTAATTGAATACAATGAGCGAGAGTGAAGGAGGATGAGAGAGAAGAGAGACAGAGTGAATGAGAGCGAAGAGAAACTCATTGTTGAAAAAAACATACCTGGAAGGCTGCGGACGCCAGTAATATGGCAACCATCATCAATGACCACCTGGCCCACTGTAACCCTGCGGAGACGTAACGGCATTAACAGTAAACACAGCATCTCACACACACACACACTAATTTAATAGTGAACACAGCCCAATAGACAACAAGCAAACAGTTATCGATGTAGGTGTTTCATGATCCAAGCCACAGGTGTTTCATGATCCACGCCACAGGTGTTTCATGATCAAGCTACAGGTGTTTCATGATCCAAGCCACAGGTGTTTCATGATCCAAGCTACAGGTGTTTCATGATCCACGCCACAGGTGTTTCATGATCCACGCCACAGGTGTTTCATGATCCACGCCACTGGTGTTTCATGATCCATGCCACAGGTGTTTCATGATCCACGCCACAGGTGTTTCATGATCCACGCCACAGGTGTTTCATGATCCACGCCACAGGTGTTTCATGATCCACGCCACTGGTGTTTCATGATCCACGCCACAGGTGTCTCATGATCCACGCCACAGGTGTTTCATGATCCACGCCACAGGTGTTTCATGATCCACGCCACAGGTGTTTCATGATCCACGCCACAGGTGTTTCATGATCCACGCCACAGGTGTTTCATGATCCAAGCCACAGGTGTTTCATAAACCCTTGTTCCAGACTTTTAAATGATTTAAGTGCCAAGTTTACCTGTAGGGACAAGTAAGTCGACGATGAGCAAAAGGCCGGCCAGTTGGAGGCACAATGTACATAGGATCCGACGTCCCAAGATAATATTGAAAGGTGTGGCCAAGAGGATAGCTATTGCCTCCATCACGCCCCATAAAGCCAAGTATTCGTATGGGTTGTTACTGTGAGGATAAAAAAATACAAAATGAGACATGTGGATTATATAAGACAGGTGTGCTACAGGTATAAACTATGCCAGGTGTATATGTGGAAAGTGATGTGTTTTATTATAACAAGCGTAAATTACAAGTGTATGATAATGTATTTGGTGATAATTTTTCTTCATATTATATATATATATATATATATATATATATATATATATATATATATATATATATATATATATATATATATATATATAATTTATTTATATATATCCTGTGTAAAATTATCTCATGGAAATTACAACAAGTTCACATTACAGTATTTGAGTTAAATTATCAAGACTCGTACAACAGTGACCTACCTAGTGGTGATGTTAGCACCAAAAGATCAACAGTGACCTACCTGGTGATAAATTATTAGAGCCAGGTAAAAAACAAAACAAAGACTGACCAACCTGGTAAAGTTGTTGGCGTTGAGGATGAGTCCGAGATAAACAAAGCCTTGGAGAAACCAGACGAGTGGGGTGACGAGGAGGATGGTGCGTAACCCTGGAAACTTGAGGTACTCCCACCACCCTTGAAGACCCTCGCACAGGGTTTGTATCTCTCTCCTACCTGGGTCATTGGCTGCAGGAACTAAAGGCTCAATCTGGATGATGGTTAATGGCGAATATTTTACTCACTTTTCTATGTTTGGTGATTGGCTAACTGATTTTAACCCTCTGTCTATTTGCTTCTGTGATTGGCTAACTGATTTTTACTCGCTGTCTATTTGCTTCGTGATTGGCTAACTGATTTTTACTCGCTGTCTATTTGCTTCGTGATTGGCTAACTGATTTTAACTCGCTGTCTATTTGCTTCGTGATTGGCTAACTGATTTTAACTCGCTGTCTGTTTGCTTTGTGAATAGCTAGCTGATTTTAACGTACTTTCTATTAGTTTGTGTTCCAATAAATTTCTTTCTATGGCAATAAAAATAGTTACATATGTTTAATGTTCAGTGTGGAAAGGAATGACTTTTAATAATAAGATACAGGTTAATAGTGTCAGGTAATCCAACACCTGCCAACACTGCCACATAATCTGACACACTGACGGGTATATGTGAAGTTAAATAAGGATATAAGGCGGCTTCTAGTGTACATCAACAATAAACAGATGTGTACGACAGATTCTAGTGTACATCAACAATAAAAAGATGTGTACGACAGATTCTAGTGTACATCAACAATAAACAGATGTACGAAGGATTGCAGTGTATATATTGAGTGCACAGTGACACAGGCCATTCATTTACCTCTTTCAGTTTGTTGATGGCGGAGGTGACAGAAGGGGAGAGTTCGGCGTGGTTACACTGAGCGGCTGTGGTTAACAAATTTACCGCCTCTTCACCTCGTCCTCTCTGCACCAGCCAGCGGGGCGACTCTTGCATTATGCTGACACACCGTAAGAATGGTAAGTGTAAAATAATAATGGTAATAGTAATAAGAGTAATAAGAATAACAAGAAGAAGTGCCGTATAAGAATGATGAATAGAATAAGAAAAGAAGGTAACAAGAATAAGTGCAAGATATCCACCTAATGACTGAACTATTATCTTATTAAATTCAACTATGAGTCTTGGTTATGTCAGACACCCCCTGTTGTGAATGTTTTAAGAGAATTATACGCGACACCGGTATTTGGGTCATCATGATAAAGCAGCGTGTTTGACTATGTGTGTCAGCTTATTTCTTGCCTCTTATGGTACAGATCTGTTTAATATTTGTCGAGCCGAGACTCTTCAGACCTCACATGTGTCAGGCTCCAAGTCCCATAACAATACCGTAAAACAACTGAAGTTACCATGTCAGTGGGATGATGATCAGGAGGAAGGAAGACGAGGTTAGCAGCAGGTGTCGCCACTGCCTCACCAGGTAACCTAGACCAGAGAACATGACGGTGGACACCGAGTACGACGTACCTATCAACATCCCAGTTAGTGTACGGAACCGACGTGGTATTACCTCCTGTGCTGGGGGTAGACAGAAAAGGTTGTATATGGTGCTGTGCCGAGATGTGCATAGAAATAACAAAGGAGCTACAGTGAGATGTGGTGAAATATGTATAGGAGCTACAGTGCTGTACTGAGATGTGCATAGGTGGAGCTACGGTGCTGTACTGAGACGTGCATAGGTGGAGCTACGGTGCTGTACTGAGATGTGTGTATAGTAGTAAATAAGGAGTTGTGCTTTGTGGAATGGTAACTTCAATTGTCTCCTACTAGAGGCAGGAGAGAGTAATTATGTCTGTGTTCTGTGGAGGGAAAACTATAAGAGTGTGGGTGGAGAGGTTGTTCTCTGCCTCTCTAATCATCATTCACCATCCTACTCACCTAGACTTACTCTCTATATCTCTCATACAACGTTTACGGACACATCTGAATTAAAAGTTTGCTAGCAGATTTATAATGGAGGAAATATAAAGAAGCGTTAGGTGGACCAACCTAGGCCAAAGGACACGTGCAGCATTGGGGAGCAGGAACCCCCTACCAGAAGTTTGGCCAGAAGAACACCTGTGTACCAAGGAGACGTTGCCATCAACACCACACCTACCAGGTTCACCACACTGAACAGCTGCATGGTTCGTTTACGTCCGCACCTATGTGAGGAAACGTTAGTCTGACGGAGAACGGTAGTTTATAACAGTAGTTGGTAAATGCTAACAATAATTGTGTTGTAAACTTTCCTGTCTGGAATGCCAAAACTGTAGGACAAAAAAATGGAACAGTTAATGATAATATTCATAATAACAAGTTCATGAAGCCAAGCCAATAGCCGAGCCTTATCTTCCTCTGACTGTGATGGACGAGGGAGGTACAGGTGGCAGTGTGTCCTCTGATGGGTGACACATGTGGCCCGTACAATGGAAGAGAGACGAAGATGCATGGTGTAAGTCTGACTTACATTTGAAAAGTTATAAGTGTCATGTGGACGGAAAGACACGAGAAGGACCATGACAACAGAGTGGATAAGGAGTGATCATCTGGCATAATGATGTAAGGAAGTAATAATAATAATAATAATAATAATGGAGTGTGCATTGAAGAGAAGATTGATTATTATAATAATAATGATATATTATAACTTTGGGGCGCCGCTATAGACATGTAGGTAAACACAGTCATTGGAAAGAATAAGTAGTAGTGTGGAAGTAAAGGATGGAAGAGCCGGGTAAAGGAAACCTAGTTACAAATAATCTGACTATAATAGTGGTTTAGTCAGACCATGGTGTCCGGCACAGTGGCAGTGTGAATCTTGTTTGTTGCGGAAATGTGTTCCTACGCCCCAGTGGTAACCCGTGTCTCCAAGCGGCCAACCTATATGACCTATAGGAAACCTATCCACCAATCACGTCCTTCGCTACACAAACAATACCCATTCATTCATAAATAAAGATACTACTACTGCGACGATGCCGTTTGGGGACACGGGTTACCACAGGGGGGTGCAAGAACACATTTCCGCAAGACCACAACTGTTACTCGATTGTGATCTGTGTTCAGTTGTATCTATTCGATCTACTGGTAAGACAGACTTTTGTATAGGAAAATATCATCAGCGAGAGAGTGTGTGTGCGCTACTGGGAGAGATAGAGAGAGGAAGTCATTATTCCCGAGTAAACAGAAGATAGTAAGAACTAAATCTTGAGTACCCCCAACACTCCAACAGTGCCGGCCACGTTACTCGCTTGGACGACAGTTGACTATCAAAGCAGCTAATCTACTGCCTTTTAAAGAATGGCAAGCATAGTGATAAGCGGACAGCGGGGAAGGTATAAGATCCACTTAAAATCATCGTGAATCATACACGCCAAGGCAGACAAGCAGCAGCCGCCCTCAACACCCTCCACACCCCTTATTGATCACTCAAGCCACTAAAGAACTCCCTGGTGAAGAGCACACCACACTGATTAGTCTTCAATTAGAATATGACTCCAATGTATGTGATTCACTGACTTATATATGCTGCTGGTGAATGTGATGTATTTCCTTCTTTGTGTACGAACCTCTGTCCTGTATGGCAGTGAAAGTGACATTACCCACATGAATCTGACCTCTATAAATTTATAGTTGTTAATGAATATGACGTATTTCTTTGTGTATGAACTTCTGTCCTGCGTGGCAGTGAGAAGTGATACCACCCTCAGTATCAAGACCTGAATGAATTACTCAGAATAGGCAAACTGTACTGCAAGCTCTGCAATAAATTTGTTAAACTAAATTAAAAAAAATTGGATGATCGTCATACTCGACTCAGAGAGAGAGAGAGAGAGAGAGAGAGAGAGAGAGAGGTGGCAGGCAGAGGACGACTGTAGTGTTGCCGCTTCCACAAACTTCTCTTCTTTTGCTGTTTACAAATTATAATCGATAAATGTGTTTTTATGTAATGGAAAAGTTTTATTATATAAAATAAAGATAAAATACCCATTACATACATATTAAGCATTTACTGTAAATGATAAATGCTAGAATCACTGTGACAGCCAGGCGCCACAGCTACAAAGGCCACGTCATGCTGATAAAACTTGATAAAATTTTCCCCGAACTCAGATAAGTGAAAGTGGTCTATATTTTCTTTAACTCACAAACGTGATTATCAAAAGCTTTAGCATGACTTTAGACACCGTGACTTTCTCCACCACGTTTCGATTCGAACAAGAGTTAGAGTTTGTGAAATCGAATTACATCTAGTTTCCTTTCTTAGTTACATTTTCTACTTATTAATGTGTATCGGGTTTAATTACAGTATAATATATGAGTTTCATATTTTATGTTAGCTGTTGTAATTGTTATGTAATGGGTTGTAATTGTTATGTAATGGGTTGTAATTGTTATGTAATGGGTTGTAATTGTTATGTAATGGGTTGTAATTGTTATGTAATGGGTTGTAATTGTTATGTAATGGGTTGTAATTGTTATGTAATGGGTTGTAATTGTTATGTAATGTGGTGTATATATTGTGTAATGTATGTTGGGTATTGTGAATAATGTTAGTTTCAAGTGTGAGTATTTCTGAAATGTGGAGGTGGTGGTGTTGTGGTTCTCTCTCTTGAATCTATATATCAATCAGTGACAGGGGGGTCGGCTAGCTGTATAGACCTCAAGTATCAGGAGATTTGTGAGTCTGGAGTGCTGCTCATTGCTACCTCCCTATGATATAATTGTGAGTTGTAATGTTAGATGTGAATATTCTGAGTTTTTCCAGTTTCAAGGTATAGTAACTGTTCGCCCTTGTCCAATCTTTAGTCATTCTTTTCTTAGTGCTTAATAAATAATCTTGGATTCACCTGACGAATCCTAACCTCACCTCACCTCACCTAACCTAACCTCACCACCCACCCCTCAAATAGCATTAGGTTGATTAATCTTTTGGTGAAATAAGCTGGTGAAATAAGATGATCCTAAGTTTTGTAAATAATTCAGCCTTAAAATAGGTCTAAGCCTATTGTAAAAGGATTATATTAACTTCATTTTTTTATTTGGATTCGTACTAATTAAATGTTTGAGATATTTTAAAAAAGTGTAATTTGTCCTTCAATTGTGACTGTTCAACATATGGCATAACAGTTGTCAGTGGATCAAGCACTGACAGGACATGATTAAAAGTGAAAATACATTGACGTTTGTGTTGGTGAGGATAACCCAGTTATTACAGTAATGTACATACACCATCTGATACTTCAGTAGACACTCATTAGACTCATCTGTCACTCTTTAGTCCTCAGTCGTCACTAACCAGCCCCTACCTGTCACTTAGCAGCCCACACCTGTCACTAAGCAGCCCACACCTGTCACTTAGCAGCCCACACCTGTCACTTAATAGCTCACACCTGTCACTAAGCAGCCCAACCTGTCACTTAGCAGCCCAACCTGTCACTTAGCAGCCCACACCTGTCACTAAGCAGCCCACATCGGTCACTTAGCAGCCCACACCTGTCACTTAGTAGCCCACACCTGTCACTTAGTAGCTCACACCTGTCACTTAGCAGCCCACACCTGTCGCTCATCAGACCCACGAACTGCTTAAATCCCTTACCTGTCGCTCAGTAGCCCCCCCAGAAGACTGCCCACCATCGCAGATAAGGAATACATCATTTGGAATACCGGGCGTAGCGTCTCCCACTCGCAGATTAGGTTAAACTGTAGATAGATAGATATTGACCATACAAGTACACTTTCATTCAGCATGTACAGTTGCCTACAGGAGTAATGTTCAGTGGAGCGCCGTTTAGCTTATCTCGAGTCAATAGGACACGAGGGAGGAAACAAAAAGGAAAGACGCAATTCAAGGAACACCTCTAGTCGCTACGAGGACATACGAGAAGCGAGGATAGTTAACCTGAAATATCTTATAGTTTAAATCTTGCTTTTGATCATTTTTGGAATCTTATGTGTAAGGTTAGTGTAAATTCGTTAAGTCAGGCAATATTGTTCTCAAACTTTGTACAAGCACTTTGTGATTTCTATAATAGCTCGATTTAACTATTAATAGTTGTTGTCAAATGTACAAACTGACTTAAAGACCCTAGTCACTGTCACTCAAATACTTCCACACAGCAACTGAAGTAATTTAGTTTTTATTTATTTGTCTCAATTCCACATATTTAAGTTTTAACGAAGCAATTATAGTTTAAAAAAGAAAACATAACCCCACAGATGTAGTTGCCTCAGATATTATAGATTCAGGAAATACAGATGTGTCGTATTCTACTTGAAGACAGGAGGGAGGGCCGACGTAGCGAGGTAGTGAGGGCGGGTCGTGGCTGCTGTGAGACGGACTTCCACACTTGTTGTCGTAGATGGGTTCAGTCACTGGCATCATCAAGGTGTTAGACGTTACAGCGTTGATCGTCTGGTTCCTGTAGGTGAGACAATTAGGCTCAACACACCCTAATCCTCAGGTGTTCACATAGGTAAGTTTATTGACAAGTTATATATCATAGTTTGAGAACGCAATACAAATAGATATAAAACGGGTATGAATCACTATATAAACTTCTAAGACTCGTATGACATTTTTTGCCGAAGTATAGCAGTTTGTGTAATTTAATATTTACATAATCCTGTAATATCTTTAGAATTACACCACTTGTGAGAATGAATACCAATTGTTTTGAACACAGTGAACCTTGAAATTAAGTATTTCCCCACACCCACTAACATAGTTGGTGGTTAAGGGGTGGTGGCAACAATATACCAGTTTTCTGAAGTTATAAACATAACTATAAAACCCAACACTGTCAGTGCCGTAAAGTGACACTGTCAATGTCGATAATTAAACAGAGAAAAATTAATTAATTGTTTGGATCTTACCTGTCATGTGTGAGAATTTCACCTGAGGTGTTCATTGGTGTGCAACGGAAGTCCATGGGTACACTGAGCAAGATGGAGCCCACAATATGAACAGGTAAGACTGCGTGAACTGTGGGTAAAACCGTGGTAGTTGTCATGAACTGTGGGTAGAACCGTGGTAGTTGTCATGAACTGTGGGTAGAACCGTGGTAGCTGTCATGAACTGTGGGTAGAACCGTGGTAGTTGTCATGAACTGTGGGTAGAACCGTGGTAGCTGCCATGAAGTGGGTAGAATCGTGGTAGTTGTCATGAAATGTGGGTAGAACCGTGGTAGTTGTCATGAACTGTGGGTAGAACCGTGGTAGTTGTCATGAACCGTGGGTAGAACCGTGGTAGTTGTCATGAACTGTGGGTAGAACCGTGGTAACTGTCATGAACTGTGGTAGAACTGTGGTAGTTGTCATGAACCGTGGGTAGAACCGTGGTAGCTGTCATGAACTGTGTGGGTAGAACCGTGTAGCTGTCAGCGAACCGTGGGAACGTGCAGCAGTTGTCAGCGAACTGTGGGTAGAACCGTGGTAGCTGTCATGAACTGCGGGTAGAACCGTGGTAGCTGTCATGAACTGTGGGTAGAACCGTGGTGAAGCTGTCATGAACTGTGGGTAAAACCGTGGTAGTTGTCATGAACCGTGGGTAACCGCGGTACGGTCAGAACTGTGGAACCGCGCAGCCGCCGCGAACTGTGGGAACCGTAGTAGCTACGAACTGTGGGTAGAACCGTGGTGGTAGCCGCCATGAAGTGGGTAGAATCGTGGTAGTTGTCATGAACTGTGGGTAGAACCGTGGTAGTTGTCATGAACTGCGGGTAGAACCGTGGTAGCTGTCATGAATTGTGTGGGTAGAACCGTGGTAGTTGTCATGAACTGCAAAACCGTGGTAACTGTCATGAACTGCGGGTAGAACTGCAGTAGTTGTCATGAACTGTGGGTAGAACCGGTGTTGTCATGAACTGTGGGTAGAACCGTGGTAGTTGTCATGAACCGTGGGTAGAACCGTGGTAGTTGTCATGAACTGTGGGTAGAACCGTGGTAGCTGTCATGAACTGCGGGTAGAACCGTGGTGGCTGTCATGAACTGTGGGTAGAACCGTGGTAGTTGTCATGAACTGTGGGTAGAACCGTGGTAGTTGTCATGAACTGTGGGTAGAACCGTGATAGCTGTCATGAACTGTGGGTAGAACCGTCGATGACGAAGGAAATGTGACAAGTAGGTCGATGTGTCAGATGAGATGTGGTTGTTAGAGCATCGTTCGCTTACACAGGAATGGAGAAATCTTCAGCGGGCCTATTGGCCCGTATTATAAGGCCGTTTACACCCAACCCCTTTCGCGCATCCACTACTTTATTTCCAAACCAATGTTTACCTATCTCACCCCTAAATTTAAATTTGTCTAATTTAAAACCATTGCTACGAGTTCGCTCCTGGTTGGCTAGTTTGAGTACCTTTGTGATATCACTTTGTTTAGCCCTGACTTTCGTTTATACACCTCGATCATATCGCCCCTCACTCTACGTCTCTCGAGGGAGTGCAAATTAAGATGCTTTAATCTGTCTCTGTACTCAAGGTTCCTACTCAAGGTTCCTTATGCCCGGGATTAGTCTTGTCATCCTCCTCTGAATGCTTTCTAGGGATTCTATATCCATTCTGTCAACGGTAACCAGAACTGATTTACACATCACTTTTTTAAGTGTTTAATCTTCGTCAATAATGTTGAGAAGTCTGAGAAGTGCAGATACGTAAACATTAAGCTGTTTAGTAAAGTCAACATTCACAAAATGAACAGAAACCTATGAATATCTTTGTAATGTATTGTTATACTGAGCAGACCTCTGCATGGGCCAGTGTAAATTAACAGGGCCATCAACACGTTTTGAACGCCTCGTTGGAAGATGGAATATTTAAAAAATTGTAACGTTTACGGGGTGTGAGCTGTATCTTTAATTAAACCAACGTGGCCAGTCCAGTGTTGAGCAAGACCTCAGCTAAGCGGTTGTGAGAATCACCAGATTGACTGAAATTTTTTCCTACAGGCCCTAGTAAATAAGTCAATTCCTATGTAACGATTACACAGCACTATACTGAAAATACTTTGTAATAATCAATGCCACAATATCCTGACCACTGAGGTCCGACAAACACCCTTCGTGACCTTTACTCTGAAATCCTTCTTTTCGCTACAGCTCACATATCATTGGTCAATTTTGGAGTCATTGATTGACTTCAAAAGACATTAAACCCTGAATGGTCAGGTAAATGTGGTATGAGAGTTTAGTGTTTGTGCCCCTTTATAAAGCCGTGTTGTGATGTACTTAACCCGCGCAGAACCTCACTCCCTCATCATCCTTAATATATTACATGTTAAAAGAGATACAAGAAAGTAACTTCATATACGACCACGGTCTGTCTTACCTAGCAGAGTGAGGGACACGAAGGGGAACTGCCACCTCCCGTAACCAACACCTGTGATAGCTTCATCGATGTAGTCTTCCTGCGTCATTTTGGCTCCTTCTGGAGTTAATGTAGAACCTGTATGTATTATTAATAACCAGGAGTTGTTATTCCTTCAGTAACATCACATCCTCATGAACCATCCTAAACATCCTTCATTAGCACTATCCTAAACATCCTTCATTAGCACTATCCTAAACATCCTTCATTAGCACTATCCTAAACATCCTTCATTAGCATTATCCTAAACATCCTTCATTAGCACTATCCTAAACATCCTTCATTAGCACTATCCTAAACATCCTTCATTAGCACTATCCTAAACATCCTTCATTAGCACTATCCTAAACATCCTTCATTAGCACTATCCTAAACATCCTTCATTAGCACTATCCTAAACATCCTTCATTAGCACTATCCTAAACATCCTTCATTAGCACTATCCTAAACATCCTTCTGTCATGGTTTTGGGGTGTGGATCAGTCCACCAAGAAGAATCGGTGGTAGTAGGAGTGGATTATATTATATAAAGATAATAATATGTCGTATTTCTTATTTCTTACCGTAGAGTTCGATACCTTCACACTGATTACTTACAGGAGATTATGGCGTATCTACGTAGAAGTTCACTCCACCACTCGACATTCCGCGATTTATACTTGATAAATGATGATTTAATGAATTCATTTAATTTTCAACATCCATCTAAGTTGACTGGTTACTTTTGTCATAACCAATCCGTCGTTACCTTTTAGTGTAATAAGATGGGATCATGAATGCGGGCGGATAGTGCACTTACATTTTATTGTCAAACTTCCGCATACAATGATTTTGAATTTATGGATATATGAGTTCCTCGTTCACGCTGTAATAAAATTAATCTTCTGAGGAATTTTAGCAGGACACGTGTGATTACTCTACTATGGGTATAATAACGGTATGCCAATTCTTCAAGTGATACATTTACTGCCAGCTGATTTGCTTGTTTGCAGCAGGCTTTTTTCTTAGAACTTCTTTCCACGGGCCACAGCAACAAAGGAGTCTCTTGGGTTTACCCACATGGTGTCGTTGGGAGAACTCTGTGGCGGGACTTGGTTTAATAGGTGGCTGGTTGCTTTTGTCGCAACCAGGCTTCCTGTCGATATTTCCATGGGATAACAACCTCAGTTGTAACTTACGCTTAGTCTCGTGTATCGACCCCACGGCCATAACAACAAAAGTGTGCTCTTGGTTTTTCCACGCGTATCTCGCGTCTTTTGAGTCACGGTAAGACGGTTGTCGCGGTAGGAGAGACTTGTATGCGTATTGAATTAACCATTTTGGGTGCAATAGACCAGCTGGATTGCTTTTGTCGCAGCAGGCTTCCATAATATTTCCTGGGGATATGAAGCCTGGGTTAGCGCGCTGTATCTCGTGTCGATCGCGGTCTGATGACGGGTGTCGTGCAGAGAACTCTTTGCCAAGATTAATTAACCATTTGCGCCTTGGGTTTGGTGATAGGCCTGGATTGCTCTCGTCGCAAGCCAGGCATCCACGTGATATTTCCGGGGATAACAACCTGGGTTAACACACTTAGTCTCGTTAGTCGGCGGTTCTGGGACGGGTGCGGTGGAGGGACTCTGTGGTGTGGTTGTCGCTCCTTTCAGGAGGATGGAGACGACGTCTTCTTGGCTCGGGGGTTTTACTTAAAATGAGGTTTTTGGTGTGAAGCGATGAACAGTACAACACTGTTTCCTGCCACCTAAGGAAAGCTGGCTGTATACTAATTGAAAGATATACGGTTATGCCTCGCCGGCGTCTTATCTGGTAAAAAAGCTTTAGCTGGTTGCGTTGGTGACTAACGCAGCCCGGTTACTTATCCATTAGCACTATCCTAAACATCCTTCATTAGCACTATATAAACATCCTTCATTGCTTTATCCTAAACATCCTTCGGTAGCACTATCCTAAAACATCCTTTGTTAGCATATCTTAAACATCATTAATTGGCACTATCCAAACGTAATTCATTTAGTATCTCTAAACATCATTCATTAGCTTGTCCATGAAGCATCATTCGTTGCACTATCTAAACATCGTTCATTAACTTATCCTAAACGTCCTTCATTAGCATATATAAGCATCATTCGTTACACTATCTAAACATCTTTCATTGTTTTCTCTAAACATCCTTCATTAGCACCCATATAAACGTCATTAATTGGCACTATCTAAACATCGTTAATTGGCACTATCTAAACGTCTTTAATTGGCGCTATCTAAAACATCATTCATTGGCACTATCTAAAACATCATTAATTGGCTATCCTAAATATCATTGGCACTATCCTAAACATCGTATTCAATATCTAAACATCATTAATTGGCACTATCCTAAACATCCTTCATTAGTATATCAGCATCATTATTAACTTTCTAAGCATCGTTATTTAGCTTTATCCTAAACATCCTTCGTAGCACTATCCTAAACATCCTTCATTAGCATATCCTAAACATCCTTCATTAACTATCCTAAGCATCTATTAATGGCACTATCCTAAACATCATCCATTAGCACTATCTTAAGCATCTTCATTAGCACTATCTAAACATCTTCATTAGCATATCCTAAACATCGCTCATTAGCACTATCTAAACATCCTTCATTGCTTATCTAAACGCTTCAGTTAGCACTATCCTTATCATGCTTCGTGGCACTATCTAAACATCGCTTCATTGCTTTTTCTAAACATCCTTCATTTAGCACTATCTAAACATCGCTTCATTAGCACTATCCTAAACATCCTCATTAGCACTATCCTAAACATTCTTCATGGTATCCTAAACATCGCTTTAGCACTATCCTAAACATCGTTTCGTGCTTATCTAAACATCCTTGATAGCACTATCCTAAACATCGCTTTGGCACTATCCTAAACATCGCTTTAATAGCACTATCTTAAACATCCTTCGTTGCACTATCCTAAACATCCTTCATTAGCACTATCTAAACATCCTTCGTAGCACTTCTAACGTCTTATTTCTTTTATCTAAGCATCCTTTAATTGCTTTATACTAAGCATCCTTCATTAACATAAGGATCATAAAATGGATCTGCAATAGGCCGGTTTGAAAGCTGGCAGCTCCTGTCGAGAGTTACTACCTCTCTATCACGAATCTATCTAGCCTTCTTTAAAACTTTTCAGCGTTCCACTTACTATAAAGTTGTAAACTTGTTCCTCGTCCACCACCCTATTTGTGAACCAGTTCCTTCTCCTCCTAAGCCTAAGCTTATCAGCGGATCGTTGCTCCGAGTTCTATCCTGCTCGGATATTAAGAACTTTATCTATCCTTTATTGAGTTCCTTTCACCCATTAAATGCTCTATCATATCTCCCCACTCTTCGTCTTTCTGGGGAATGCAAGTTAGTTTCTTTAACCTATCATATATGGAAGGTTTCTAAGTCTCGGTCATTTTCGTCATTCTTCGGTGCAAAGCTCTGGTGAATTTATATCATTCTATAATAGGGGAGCTGGGAACTGAACGCATAATCGGGGTGCGGCGCTGCTATTGCAGGTTATAGTTTGCTTGAGAAGTGATAACCAGTCCCCAATCGCTTGAGAATTTCGTTTTTTTTTTCCTATCTGGTTTATCGGCGTCGTGGATGACGTTTTTGGTGATATATTTGCAATAATCCTTTATATATCGATTGTGTAGGCAGCGTTAACTCGCGGTCTCACCAGCATCAAGGTTCGGCCTCGTTCCGGACACACGTGAAAAGACTCCTCCTGTTTAGCGTGGATATACTTAACCTCCCGAACCGCTAATAAACTGTTTAGTGAAGTTATGAAAATAATAATAATACGTTTTTTTTTCAGTGAAATTCAAAGCCAAATCACATGAGTTGTGACCAAAGTAACTAATTTGCGTACAGTGTGTAATATGTTTTATCAGAAACTAAATTGTTTCACTCCTAGAAACTTCCCAGATTATTCACATTAAAGGTATAATATAAACTAAACATCAATCCTACACGGGCTGGCGGGTAATGATTGCTATTCGTCTCTTTTCGTGTTTGTAGTCTTTCGATTCTTGGATAGATGTTTTGTATAATTTATGTTGATTTATTTTCAGTCTAATTCATTAGTCTTTGGGCGATGAACGTCTCACTTGATGCTCGCAGCTTCCTACTGTAACCACCCACTACCTCCACCGCAGTGTGGTAACTGGTCATTTCATCGCTGTCACTACCCGACTCCCCTCTGCCTGCCTCATGTGCCTGACACTCCAGGCTTTCTGGTGTTACGTAAGTACAGTAATAGTGTGTTGCACTTGTATTTATTAATTTCCTGACCTTTATAATGAAACATTGTATTTTCTATATCCCTAAAATCATAAGATAGTGACAAACAGAATACCAATACATTTTTGTACAATAAGTAATTTTGAAATCTCTAAGCGTCGGCAGATCGTTTCTCTCTTTGTTTTTTTGCAAATGCTGAAACGTTCAGTTACATCCATTTGGGTTTTTTATTTTTGTCACCGGAAATCAGTTTGTGCAGTTAGTAACTGCTGTAAATTAGTACCTAACTATTGTTGTTTAGTACAAATGCAAAAAACTATTCCTAAAATAAATGAAACAGACAAAACTTGCTTATCTAACTACTGTAAATTAGGAATTAACTACATTAGGCGTATTCTTTGGTCGCCCCAAAACGCATAACTAGTTATGCTATCTACTGCGCAGTGCACATCTCTTACATTTGCCTTGTCCTTGTGCTTGTGTGGGGATTGCTGGCCCTTCGCTGGGCTATTTCGGCCGGAGCTGATTTGCTTCTTTCTTCTTCTTGGGGTTTCTTCTTCTAGTCTTGGTCTTCTTTCTTGTTCTAACTAATCTGATGTTTTTGTTTCTTCTTTCTTGTTATTCTTGTGCTCTTCTTGTTCTTGGTATTTTGGTTTGCTTCTTTTCTTCTTCTTGGTTTTATTTGGGATGAATTGGTTGTATGGGCCCTGTCTATCAACAGGACATTATTATAAATGGGTCAATACATCTGATATTATGTTCAGATTCACCACCCTATCTTTCCACTGTCTATGGTGAGACATGAGATGGACGTGG